TAGGTTTCTTCAAATATTAAGTTTTTAGGTAGAAATCCCTCCAAACACCATTCAAAAGTGTGAAACTCGGTATTTTACACACGATTATAAAAATAAACGTTGTTAGCGAAAATGATCGAACCGGCGGATTCAGTTATGAGAATAAATATTTAATTACTAAATTAAATATAATAAATTTGTTATGGTCATGACAGGCTTAATGGCTTGGGAATGACCGAATTCAGCGGTTTTTTTTTATTAATAATTTTCTAATTTTTTTATGCACTTTTTTACTAGTGCATAAATGAAGTAGTATTTTACTAGTATGATGCTGATGTATACTCGATCAGTATAGGATTCGAGAGATCTCGCTTTGTTATAAGTGCCAGTTGCTAACATGACAAAAAGAGTGTAGATAAATAAATTAGTAACAACAAAAAACGAGAATAATAACAGTATTCCTCCCTGCAGCGAGACAAATAAATGTTTTTTTTTTTGGTTAAACCTGCAAAGCCTGAAAAAAAGCTTCAGAAACACCCGTTATTAATCAAGCAAATCAATTAATTTTTTCTCTATAAAACATTATTGCCCTTTCGCTATTAAAATATTAATATTACAAAGTAAACTGCATCAATAACTAGTTCACCAAAGAAAAAGCATCAATTATTTGTATTTAGAAAAAGCAGTTAAAAAAATTAAGACGCTTTTACATTAATCACACAAATAAGCTCATAATTTCCACATAAATACAAATGCCGAACATAATTAATGGCATGCGAGCAGAATGTTGTTGCAATGTTGGCGCAGCGTTAACCATAAATGGCCATAACCAACTGTAGTCAGGGTTGCATTCGAATAACGCGTGGCTGTGGCAAGTTTGCCAGCGCGAAAAACACTCCACTAAACACGCGGCTAGACACACACATTGCGTAGCCAATCAAGCGAACCGATTGACCGACAACAATTACTGTTGCACGCTTTGATGTTTGATTTGGATGCTCTGACTTTGATGAAATGCTTTTTTTTCCTTCTATTCACTACCTCACTGCATACTCGCTTGCATATGTATGTCCATATTGCAGTTGTTGTTAGAGGTATAACTGAATGCTATGGCCATAGCAATTTTTCGTTGACAGCTAAGCTGAAGTGGATCCGGCTGCCCGCGTTCTCCTACTGCGCGCCGCCGGTTGTTGTGTTGCTGTGTTGTTGTTACGCTTGATTACACCTTTATTGCATTTCCACTATCCATCATTTTCTGCTGCTTTTTTCAAGCTGCGCGCTTTTGAGCAATTGTAAACAGCATATTATTTGTATTCCTCTTCGCTTTTAGTTTGCTTCTTCACTTTGTTTTTGGTTTGCTTGCAGAAGGAGTTGCTTTTTTTCCTTTTGTTTGCGTGAAAATAGCAAATAAGCTGAGTAGGAGAGAGGACGAGGGAGAGGGGGAGAGAACAAAAAGCGCTCGTAACTATCATTGCAAACCGCAAAAGTTATAGGCAATTTATTTTCTATGGAACACGAGATTTTGCGTTGGGCTTTTGTGGTTAAAGAATTTCTTTTATTTATTTTCAGTAGTTGGTTTTGAGCCTAGTCCTCTTCTTCTCATTGAGCTAGTTGAATGAAATGGATGTATACATGAACACATACTTCTAAGCATTAACTGCGTTCTGCCGCCAACTCGACCTACCCAAGCGTAGACCCGAATGCCGATTGAAGTTCTTTCAGGGAAGTTTTTGCCTTCGTGCACTGAAATTTTAGGCCTACATCACTGGTACTTTAAGCACATGGAAAAAATATCAATGAAACTGGTGCATCATTTTCCACCATAATTGCCCGAATGGGGGACTGAAGAATACCGAGCGCTGCAGATAAAGACTAGCACTTCTTTTCATGTGTCGTAGCTTTACGGAACAGCCGATAGTAAGAGTTTTATATCCAAAACTATTTCAAATTGGTGGACTTAGACTTACAGACTGTGTAGAGGAGATTAAAAGAGCGGTGTACATACTGCATTGATGATTGATTTCCATAAGACAGGCAAACATATACTCAGATATATAAATGGTTAAACCGAGCTCTCACTTCCAAAAGAAAATCATATGAGTACAAAGCCAATGCAGAATCAATTCTCAGCTTGTGGGTTTGGCAATATCACAGCTTGCTCCAATAGCTAAGTGAGTTTTTAGCTAGTATCTCCACTCACAAGGATGCGAAACCCTTCAGGCCTTCAGTAAGGAATTTCCATTCCTTCCATTTCAGCATGTACCAAGTGTTTTACCTGAACTCTATTAATGAATTCCCTATCGAAAGCTTCAGTACTTGGTGTATTGTTGTTTGGAATTTTGGCCCACACCGAACTCTCTGTCTACAGCAGACGGGGCATGCAGCAACAGTATTAAAAAGTTTATAGAAGTTCACATAAAGTCATTCAACATATCTTTATTATCCTTGCATTATTTCAAATCTTCTTTCAGTACTCCTTGTTTCTTGTCAACTTTTCTTATAACTTATATATATATATTCTCATTCTTCCCTCATGTAGTAATCTAAAATACACATTTAAGTAATTATTTTATATGAAGAAAAATCCATTAGTAAAATTTACCTTTCAAAAAATCATTTTACTGTAAAATAATCTTCACTAATGAGAAATTGTCTGTCTGCCAATTGTAACAGTAATATAACTTGCCCATTTAAATTTAAATGAAATAGTAATATATTGATATCAATTAAAAGGCAGAGTGGTAAATGAAAAAAGATACAGTTAATCGCTATAGCATAGTCGTTAAAAGCATATAATCACTAGTTGAAAGTATAAAACCACTAAGGTAATTTCGTGATTTTTTAGTACAGACATATGCGCCAAAAAAAAAAAACAAAAAAAAAGATGAAAAAAAAAGAAATTATAAATTTGCATACACATAAGTGAATACCCTGCAGGAAAGTATAAAGAGAAAATAATAGTCAAAACAAATTTTCCCTAATTAATATAAAAAATCCCATAGAAGAGGCAGTTAGGAATTTCTATTATATATTATTATTATTGTTATAATTAACAATTAACTAAAAAAAACTTTACAGCTTTTTGATTTAGCAACTTTTTATTGAAGAAACTGGTGTGTGACTTTGCTAAAATAATATACACCTCGCTCAGATGTAGGCAACATTTTTTTTTTGCTGTAGGTGTAAATCAGTAAAGCAAATATTTCGCATAAACTTAAGCGATCTAATTCTTTTCAATAGAAACCAAACTTTTCTAATAATAACTTTTATATTTCAAAGTTTTGCGAACTCTAATGTGAGCATACCTAACTGCGTTGCCAATTTTCCAGTTGTCTTGCTAACATTCAATTAACTTGGCCTGTCGCGCTTGTAACATACGATTTGTTTAAAATTTCTTTTTCTTAAATTTTTTTCTTAGTCCTCCCCTGGTTGAGCGCGATTTTCTACGTTTTTATTGTTTCTTCAGCAACGAGAATTTCAATGGAAATAATTGAATTGCAGTTGGCGATATGTGTAGGTTTTCTCGCATAAAAAGAAGAAAAAAAATAGTAAAAATAAAAGAAAATAAAGAAAACTAAAAGAAAAGTATTTTAACATTTTACAAATATTTAGTTGCTAGGTATTAGTTAGCACGCAGACAAAGTGTTTACTATGCTTTTAAAAGCAAGCAAAATGTGTACAAAAATAGCAACAAACACTCGTACATGTATGTATGTATGTATGTGTGTATTACAATTGAGTATGTTGTATGTTATAACGGTTGATATAAATTACTTTCGTATATCCTGTGGACGTGCGCAATAAAATTGTTAATGCGCTAAGTGCACGCGAACAACCTTAACAACGGCAGTACACACACACACACACACACACTTACACATACACACATAGAAACACAATCACACTGAAAAGAACAGCTCCCACTATACACCTACCTACATCTAGCTACATCTACCCACACACCACATACCACGATTGTATGTATTCGCCCGCTGATTAAATAAATGCGCTCAGCCATTTGGTAATTTGTTGTTTGCGATGGAAATATTCGCTCCCAAATAAGAAAAAAATTAGTGAAATGAAGATACCATGAATTTCATTATAAAGCTATCAGAGTATTAGTGCACTTTCGCTTATTATCTCGCTGGCAGTAGAATGCAAAGTATCTTTTCGGTTGCAGTCGCCACTTGTCTGTGCGTCCGCTGCGCGTGGCTTCTTTTGGTCTGTTTGAAAAGTATGATGACTGCCGCTTTGCAACTACTCCAGGAGCTATTATTATAATTTTGTTTGAATAATTTTTTCTTTTTTTTTTTGGGTGAAAAATTTTGGCTTGTGTTCATTCGTCTACTTTAGTTGGGAAGTTAAGCGTCGCTCAATGAAATGCAATTAAATTTCGTGATACACTGTGAGAATCAAACGCTAGCAGTTTCCGACCGAGCTTCTCCTCCGATTTGAAAATGGCGGAGCCTAAAGTTTATTCCAATACTTCTGAGTATCCCTTACAAATTAAAAACTATCAAGTAGATAAGAGTACGAAGAAAAGTAAAGAAGAAACTTAAAATTCAGTGAATAATAATCGGTAACGAAGGAGAGTCAGCAGCTCATCACAGAAGCTCCTCAGTTGATCTCGAGCAAGTGCTAAGCAGAATTTTTATGAAGAACTCATAAGTAAGGTAAGATTACATTGGTTGGCTGCTATGCCTTACATAAGCCTGTTGGTTCTTTGTAGTGCCATATGAGGTAGTCGTCGCATAGCACGACAAGCTTTAAGTGGGTCCTGCTATCCCGTTCTGAAACCTTTTCCAGCAGACAGAATACCGAAGTTAATAGATTCTTAAAATCTGTTCGGGGTAACACCGGACTGGAGCAGAGAAGGTACACCAACAAACCTGCCTTCTTAAACTTTTTGCATATGTCACTGTTAGTGACACTCATGCTGATTTCTAGATTGTGGCTAGTCATACAATTGTTCCGCAGTGCTTTCGAGACCCCGTGAACAAACCGTATTTGTATTTGTTATTATTCAGTTTATTTAGCGACTTTTGAATTTCATGCGTTGGTTGATAGCTAGATGATCATTTTCGGCGATTATTTCGTTCCCTACAATGGCCTCGGGGCCTGGAACTCAATATATATGGCGTTGCTTTCTTGCACCCATTTCAAAAACTGCTTTCTTGCTTCTAAAGACATTTTGTTACGTAAAGCGGTGTGAGATTTAATTGCCGTCTGGCTATCAACCTCCATAAGCTGATGCTTTTCCTGTCACTTCCTGATTTATTAGCTTGCTCTGCGGTTTCTTTTATAGCAAAGTCATTCACCTGAAAAATAATACAATATTTCAGAAGCTTGAAAGGTTGAAACCTAGCACCATAGATCGTGGTTCACACTTAATTAGCTATTTTTTATCTGTCTGTCCAGATATTGTAAGCTCCTCTAGCGCTTCGCAAGTTCCTGCATAAAACTTGTAGACATAACTTGGACAGGATGAATAACCAAACCATCCAACAATGAATGACCTGCATCAGTCTAAGCTAAGAACGTCGAAACAAAGCCATACAGACACGGTAGGCACAAGAGCACTGAGATATATATATAATTGACGCTTTGTAACCGTTGAAGCGATTTTCGTCCGAGTTCCTCCTCCAATGTGTGGTTTTGCGTCTTGATGCCGCCTCCGAGTGACTGATGTTTTTTTTATGAGGAGCTTTTTTTACTGAAGCTTTTGTCATTGGAGAATTAAATACACCCGGAGGTGTTGACATTCCCTGTCGAGGGGCGACCGGAATTGAAAATTTACCTTAATTTATTATTTTAAATTAATTTTTTTCTATAACTTTTTGGATGCTAGAACCCGAGTCTTCCGAACGGCAGTAAGCAATACTAACTACGCGGCCGCCTAGTTATAACGTTATAGGTCATTCTATAATGTCCTCGTCAAATCAGCGGTTACCTATACTCAGCTCATCTCCTCTGAGAGCATACTAAATACCCTCCAAGGCTGTTCAGGTCAGCCAGTTATTGTGGAACCTTAATTTCTCAAATACTGACTGAAAGTACCTTTCACAACAATACGGCATTCATTCTTTTCTTTCAAATGGGAAATGCTATGGGCAGCCAAGTCCTGCTCCACTTGGTCTTTCGCGCGGAGTGATCTACTTCCAACGGCGAGTACTGCATAGAAAACTTTTAAAAACTTTTCTCAAAGGCTACTTTGAAATATTTGCAAACGGACCGGCTTATTTCCATTGCCTGAACACTTCTACTCTACAATTCTGCTGAGACAACATAGGATTTGGGTTATGCTTTTGAATAAATACCTTCCGTGACCATTCAATGTATAATAGAAGCGAATGTGGTAGATGTGGTGGCCGCAGTAGCCGTGTGGTTAACAGTAAATGCAACCCTGCAGAGAGTCATGATTAAAATTTAATTAAAAATTGTTTTGTATAATAGATATCACCGCTCAGGCAGGTAACTTCTACCGCTCCGAGTGAATTTATCATACACTTCGGCTCACTTCGACTCGCCAATTCTGTTCATAAAATTTAAGTTAAGGCGCAAAAGCGAACCTTAAACTCTCTCTTGCTTTGGCGGTACTAAATTCCGGTTTTTGGAATAATGCAAAATAAAAAAAAAACATTAATATACAAATTTATAACTACATACAAATATTCCGCTCAGTGTACTGCTAGTTATGCACCAAACAGTGAGCATAACATTTTCGTATACCATTGTTCTGCACAATACTCCTATGGCATGCCAAAAATTTGGATAATTACATTAATATGATGAGCTGACTATACAAATTTGCCAAGTATATATATGTACGTGTACATGCAGACATCATATATGATATTTAGAGTGCATAGTATGCATACATATACATACATATACATACACATATGCCAAGCAAATATGTTTTAGTTTAGGTAAGCGAGGAATTCAGCAAATATTTAACAATTCTCGTTGATAAAAGTATTCCACACAAACACTGATATGTATGTGCGTAGTATGTACACGTATATGCAAGTCATGAAGCTTCTGCGGTGTACTAACTGAAACCGTTACGTGTTGCAAGCGGCGGAAGCCAACGCTTTATTTTGCTATAAACATTGTAATTATTCATGCAAAAGAGGGAAGCCGAACAACACATTACAAATACGAGCACATAAATTTACACACATACACACACATGTGTGTGTGTTTTTTTTTTAAAGAATTTGCATATTCATATTCATGTGTGTGCGTGTGGGTGTGTGTTTGTTTGCGTGTGAGTGGGAAGCTGATTCTGAGGTAAAAGTTTTATGTTGCTTGTTATTATCGTATATACGTGTATGTACATATATGTGTATGTATGTAACTAAGAAGTTTATTTGACGATACTCATTTAACGGTAATACTTACTATTGCGTTTATTGAAAGCGTTACTTTTTTAATTGCACTCGTTTAATTTTCACCGTGAGTATGCGCGCATATAATTATAGCACACAAACACACACACACATACACACATACACATATGTACCTATGCGCATTTGGTGCATGCCAATACACTGGCATATTTGGTTAATGCTAAATAGTTTGGAAAATTATGCAGCGTAAATGAAGTGAGTTAAAAGTTCTAATGAAGTCATTTGCCATAAAAGTGAGACACCAAAACGTTAAACAAAAAAAAAAAAAAAAAAAAAAATACTACTTGAAATAAGAGATAATTCTTAGGAATTTTCATTAGTGAGTGAAAAATTGATGAAAAAATTAAAATGAAAATAAAATTTCGGTAACTTTTTCCCGCTTCGTGGGGAGAATTAAGAAATTAATTGCCATATTTTGCCCAATTCATAAGCTCAAGTAGTTGCAGCAAGACTTAAGAGCACAATAACAAAATATACGTATCTGCCGAAATGTGCCCCCGAACTGACGGAGTTTTTGACGAATGTAAAACACGTACGAGTGTTCTCATTTAAGCCAAGTTGAACATTTACCTTTCTGACAGCTACAAAGTAGTGTAGAATAGTTGAAAATTGCTGAGACTTGTTAGTACTTGAAGTGACTCTTAACCAGCAACTAAAGATGAGATTCATTATGTCATTATGAGTCCCTCAGCTGTGTTGGCAATTGTAATTGCTTCTTAGCTCTATCAAACCTACGCTTGGAATTAAGGCGAGTTATTCTCTAACTGTGGTGGCTCCTCCTCCCAGTATATCAATACAAACTGAGCCAATAGGCACTCCTAAAAATGCTTCACCCATTGTACTGGTACCTAAAATTTCCAAGACTTCCATTTATGGCGATTTATGAACTGGTTAAGTGTGCGCTTGAAAAGAATTGGGAAATATTGAAAACTTACATCCAAAATGGCGATGTTTAAAGCGCAGCGGAAATTCAAGGCAGTTTGTGGATTAAGTTCGCCATAACGTTCAGCGAGTTTGTAAAACCGAAAAAGCCATTAATATTAACTCGATTACGTAGGAATTTCAATGCTACTGATACTTTTTAGACCGGGTTTTTGCATAAAATCCTCGGTATGAAGGCTTATGGCGTGGAATTGGTTCAAGAAGTCTCTTAATCATCCGAAGCGACTTTGCTTCGCTCAATGCTTTCAAGATCGATTGGCAAGAGATGCTATACTTTCCTCTTAACTTTATTTTCCCCTCAGTGGCTCTTAAAAGCGAAAGGTCTGTTTTGTTGCAATAAGTGGACTGGCGGCATCAAAAATGGGGAAGTAACTCCCGCGCCGATCGCTGAAAGAGAATAACTTGCCGATATGTAGTTTGTAATAGAATATTAATTTTAAAATAAAAAAATTAAGTTAAACTTTCTAGTTGCGGTCGGCAAGGAATGTCAACCCCTTCGAGTGTATTTCTGACATGAAATAAAGGCTCTTCGTAAAGAACCCATCAGCTGTTCGGAGGCGGATTAGTAAGAACTGTAGATCCCTCCACAAATTGGAGGAGCTCCTAAGTGTGGTTTCAATAAAATTGAGCATCGTCCCGTACGTCCAATTGCAAACAATATCAAAGAGTTTGCATTTATAAACCGGTTCGTTGAAATTTTAACTGCTCAACCACGTCTTTCCCAGGCTCTAAGTAGAATTTCGTCAACCGTGAGTAAAGAAGAAGAAGATGTTTCTGCAAAAATTAAAGAGATTTTGCGAAAATTTTTTGAAGAGAAGATAGTATTCTTGGCCTTCTCAACATGAATCAGAGACTATCATTCTTGGTTTCTTTTCCGCCGAAGTGATTTCCCTCAATCAGCGTTTCTCTAAATAAGCCAACCCCGTACTCCTTTGGGTTTCCTCAAAATATGCAAGCTCACTGCTGGCTACGAATGTGAGGTGATTTTCTCTTCATGTCCGAAACTTCTTTCTCTACAAGTTGGCCAACTTATTTTAAAACAAATATTTTATATTTTTTTTGTGTTGTTCTAACTTAATCCTAGTGCTCATGGCCATTTGGTTCAATAACTACAGAGCTCTCAGCTGCAGTATATAGAGAGCATGTAGATCATCAAAGGCAGTGACAATGTCAAAGAAATGCCTTTAAAAAATATCAAACTTGAGAGAGCTGTTGGTGTTTAAAAATATTCAATTAGCTTAAATGGGAGCCTTAAATTCCGTGTTTTCAAAAATAAACTAAATGCGTTTCTAAAGAAAAATACTACAGTTTAAATAAACTTAAATTCAGTTTACCTTAACTACAACACACTACTCAACTTAACGTTAAAAATTAAACGAAGTAATAATAAAATTGAAAAACAACTGCCATAAAGCACCGTGTAAGCTTGCCCAACCTCGTAGTTTCACTCAGAAATTTTTACTCTTTAGCTATTTTGTGTGACTGATGGCATTTTATTTGCTTCATAAAGCACCGCACCGTTAGTTGTATGAACCAGAAACTTGAAGTCTCTATTTTTACAATAAGCGATTTATTTTCATGTCAACTTGTGAGCATAAATAAATAAATAAATGGAAAAACAAAAGGTAAATAACAAGAAATAAGTCGATCAATAAAATTTTGACGGTGACCATGCGGGTGGTCAAATATTGAGATATGCCTTTGTTTTTCTGTATTTTTTTCTTCATTGCTTTTTGTATTTGTACAGAAGAGTTGAAAACACCAAGCGAGCATGGCAAAAACAACGCTGCAAGGGCAGGAGAGATATGAAATATGCAGTGGAATTAAGTAGGTTAACGGATTTAAAGTCAATGTGAAGCCAGCCAATAATGTAAATGTGTGAAAATATATGGTATAATTTTTTTTTATTTGTTTGGTTAATATATTATTAAAGAATAAATATTCGGAATTCTTTGCGCTAGCGCCTGCAACAAAAGTTGGCTATAATTTATTCACATATTTTTTTTTTTAATTTTCCGAGCATAAAATGCAAATAAATGTTTGATAGTTGACATAAATTTGCATGCCAAATTTTCGGTTAAACCTTTAAAGCACTGCACTGTAAAAAAAGACCTACCCTCCGGGAGCAACGTCAATGCATACTCCCAATGGTAAACATTGTTCCACAAAAATTCTTCCACCACTTGAAAGTGACAGATTCAAGGAGTACATTGACTTCCTATTTGTGGCCCTCAAAGTTCATTGGGTAGTGAAGATTAGAAATACTAGTCTTGAAACACTTTGGATAGTCTAGGAGAAGGAGTTTCCAAAAGCACTACAGACAATCAGAGATATACCTGCTTGACAGTAGAGTTAGTATTTTAGTTCAAAACCAAACTAGATCAGCGTAACTATGTGATATACTTTTTTCAAAGCCTTGACATCGCATTGCAGTGTTAATAGCTCAGTTATAAAATAGCTCTTACAGGATTCACGCTCGAAGAGGGATCAGCGATTCGCACTTTCGAGCGTGTTTTAAACAAGATTTTCACGGCCCATCTGTCCAAAGCTGCTGTCTTATCTTTACTCTACATCGTTTGAACGCAGGAGAAACAGTATTTTAATCCAACCAGGACTTATTGTTAGTATCTTTAGTAGTCGGTAATCATGCCTTAGCTGTCATGGCGTACAAATTATCCTTATTTAAATTTAATCTGTTGTCATGAACAGCCTATAGGAAATAGAATTCTTCACTGGAGGGTGCCGTTCATAGTATTGCTGATTTCTGTGCTCAAGTGTTATTATAGGCAGCCAATGTCGTACCGGGAGGTCATTTAACATTTGCACTGGGTTAGTTACCCGAAGCTGCTCTCTAAACTTTGCTAAGATTTCAAGCTCTATCTGTTGCTCTCTTTCTGGCCGACAAGGATATTGCTCGAAAATTTCATGAAAATATCCGGCGGCTCACAGAAGGTTTCAAGACCGGAGGAAGGAGTTCTCCAGCCTGCTAAATGGCAGTCAAAAAGCAATACACGGAGATGGTGAATCTTAAACTCCATGCGATGATGATAGAAAAGACAATGCATTGCACGAATATGTCGAGGTTCGAATAGCGATTGCCCGCTTAAAGGTTGACAAAGCGACGGCAGCTAATGGCTTACCACCAGAGCAACTCAAACCTGGGGCTTCGAAGCTGGTAACGTATATGCATCAGCTTCTTTGTAGAATATGGTCGGATGAAAGAATGTCCAACGATTGGTGCTTTAGTGTACTCTGTCCAATTCACAATCTGTGCCAAGACCGTGGGTCGCAAATTCGCGCTATTGAGGGTATTGTTTAAAGTCTAAAGCGCACCGTAAACAATCTGATTGGATTAAAAGAGCTGGTAAATTTACCTTAACGCCGCTATGACTGAATTTGGTGATTTTGCAAAACTTATACGACTGTGTAAACTGACGCTGAACAACAGCAGAAGAGCAGCAGCAGTCAGAATTTAAGAGGAGCTTTCCGGGCCGTACGGTACCCAACAAGATGGTCTCTCATCATCTGACTTATTTTATCTATTGTTGAAGAAAATAGTAAGAGTATTCGATCTAGTAAACGTTGGTGGATGTAGAGGAAGTGGAAAGCCTACACTCTCTTGGGATTTGGAGATCGACCTGGTTTCACTTGGTAAATACCAACTGTAAAAAAAAGAGCAGATTTATTCACAATTTAGACGAGAACTAAACTCAAAAATTATACATTTTTAAAACTTAAAATATTTCTTAGTCAACTAAGGGTTAAATACTCGTTTAATTAAATCTAAATAGCTTTTTACTATTTTTTAATGATTTTACGACCGCAATAAAAGACGCCAATATTTAAATTGTATTTCTTTGTAACATTTCTCCTTTACAGCAAGTCTTCATTCGACGATTGTTTTCACCACATCTTTGTCTGGCTGATTCAATGAATTGCTTAACTCAAAATCAGATAAAAAGACAAAAAAAGGCTTTTCGTTACGAATTTGACACCAAAGTTTCACAATAAAAAAAAAAAAAATCAAAAAAAAAAAATCAAAATAAAAAAATAAAAAAACGTCACTCTGCACTACCAGCGGAGTTGTCATTTACAAAAAAAGAAAGAAAAATTAAAAAAGAACAACAAAAAGAGGCATGAAATTCCAAAGGTAAGAAGATATTCCAAATTATATCAACGATTGTTTTTATATGCCTCCGTGTGTGTTTGCGAGTGTCTGTATGTTGCTGAGTTGTACGAATTCAATAGAAAACAAACAAACAAAAAAAAAGAGATAAGTCGATTAGTAAACAAATATTTACACTTTATACAAGTATATAATATAGTTCAAAGAAAAAAATTGAAATAAAAAATTTTGAAAATAATAAAAGGAAAAAAATAAATATTAAAATATGTGTACCTGCATACATATGTATATATGAATGTATAGTATGTGCAGGCATTAATCCATGAGCAAACAATGATAAAAACGACAATGTTGCTTAATGTAGTATTTGATATTATCAAACGTGATCCACATATATAAAAACATACAAGCAAACACACATCTATACACATATTTCAAGAACCATGGCTCTCCAACTCTTCAAAGTCGTCTAGTGTTGTAGATAAAAATCAAATGTAACTCTTCATGTTCATACGTTAATACACATGTATTAACAACTCAAAGTCATGTCGTACATAACGGTACAACTGTCAATTGGCCTCTGAGCCTTAACACATGTAAAGCTACTCGTACTGCTGATATCTATAATCTACTCATACGAACAACATTATTTGTACCCCCAGACTATGACCACTAATCAGCTGCTGAAAACATCAGCGCGATTGAAGTGTAATCGGGCAGCGCGTGATTGAATAATAATAGTTGGTTCTTTAAATCTGCATTTAAGCCACTAATAAGTAGCTTAAAATGTGCGCTTCCGCCTCAATCAATTTTCCAAACATTTGAGTAGCTCAAGACAAGTCGTTCGATCGGTAATACTTGTTGGTAAGCCTTCAAGGTGAGTTCATCAGAATGATCGTTGAGGAAGAGTTGCACATGCTCGTATGTATGTGCAATGCATACATATGTTACATACATAATTCCAGAAGAGATTAAGATTATAAAATACACTTAAAAAACGGAAGCGATCATAAGTTGTAGATTTATTTTAGAAATTTGATAGGGGTTATGTGTATGAGTATAATGGAGGGGGAATATTATCTAATAATAATAAAATAAAATAATTTACTTATGCTATTTCATTGTGAAATATTATCATCACTTCACCATTGTGATGTCATTTTCGGTGACCCCTCTCTCAAAATTTTTTTCAAGTATTTATAATGAAAATATACTATTTCTTGTCCGATTCATTTTGAATGGTATCTACGTTAATAGTGAGACTCATGACACGATCATTCCAAGTCAAAAGATGGCCTTTAATTAATCCCATAAACTATAATTCGAACGAAGAAAAATAAAAAAAGAGAAAATAGGATTTTTTATAATTTTTTTTTTAATAAATAAATGCGAATTTTAATGAAATTCTCCAACTTTTTTAAAATAGTTTATTGAAAGTAGACGATTTCTTGTTCAATTCAAGGGTAAAATGTCATTAAGATTAGTTGACACCTTGAGAAATTTATTTGGTTGGAATTAAACATTTTGGCTAATATTATATTCTCAAGAGAAGACAACAAAAACTTCAATTCTTTGAAGTTGTGAAACCCGTGTAATGTCTTAAACAAGTCGAGCTTAGACGAAACTCGAAAGGGAAGACTAAAAGTGTCGCATTAATCTTAAATAAACAATCATTGTTTCGGTTAATTTTAACTCGTAGAAAATAGAAAAATATCAAATGTCGCATTACCAATCGAAAATAAATGCAAAAACGAAATTCCGATTTGTTTCCACTGTTTTTCTTAGGTATTGGAAAAAGTGGCCATTGAATAGATCTGTTGCCCACTTCTGTGGTCACGCCAAAAAAAAATTTGGACAGCACTGCTTTCATTCATTTAGAAGTAAAACAAAATGAAAAAAGTAGAGAAAAACTGCCGGAAGTGACTCATGATTACCGATAGACGTTGCATCATCAAGCACACAAGGCATGCGTCTACTTTCCTTACTTCTACGGGGTAAATACTTGGTGTTTTTATATTTCTAGGCTGAAAATTTGCAAGTTTAGCTTTCATACACGTCAGTTCTCGATTCTACTACATGCCCTAAACGGCTTCTTTCCCGAGAAAAAAATTCCCTCTCTTCTACTTGTGTTACCTATTCAGCCTGTTTTCTATATTCCGAGTTTAGCTTTACGCTAAGAAATGGAAAGAGATCCAGAAGCTTGCCTATTTCTTCTGGTATCTGAAGGCCATTTTTCAAAGTTCCACCTATACGATAGTCTTAAACGGCTTATAATTGGTTCTCTATAAGCCCATTGGCTAGATATTTTTTCTCCATCTAAGATAGTTTTAAGCCACCTCCGAATGGCTCTTGAGTAATTTTGTTTATTTCGTGTGAGAAATATCTTCGCAGGGCATTACGGTTTCTTAGTGTTTAGAAATTTTTTTTTTCTAAAATTTCGGATGGCGCTCTCGTCAATCTCCCACCGTATGGTATCACAGGCAAAGGTAGTTCTTTCATCAAGTCTTCTCGTTATTTCATCTACCTATTACTCAAAACCCAAACACCATTGAGGAGACTTTTCTTTAAGAAAGACCTAGGCAAGAGGTTGGCGTCGCATATTCACAAAAAAAAAAACCTCTTGAGTTTATTACAGAAAGTATATTTATTTGTAGTCCCTCGAAAACTACGCTAAGACCGGTGCTTCTATTCAAACTAAAATACTTACCTAACTTTCTACTTTTTTCAAATGAGGTTGTATAGGGTTCTCTTTTCGTTATATTTTTCGGAATTTTTTTCTTAAATCTTATTTATGAGCCCCGGTTTTCTTCGCCAATGAAAACTGTAATCAGTATAAGAATTGTATTTGTGATGCGAAGAAGAAGCGAACTTCTCTCTAGTTGCTGTGAAAGCTATTTTGAATGTTGTTGTAACGATTAAGATCAATCATCACATTAGCAAAGTCGAAAATGTCGATAAAATCATGGGCATTGTCGTGTCCGACCGTCATGTAAGCACATTTTTGATTACACAAGGGATATAGATGACACAAAAAACCCTTTGAACTATTTGAATAAGGCTGAATTTGAAAAGACAAAAATTAAACCATTAAATTTTATGTAAAAATAATGGATTTCTTTTTACTACACCTAATATTTGCTCCTCCATACCGCTTTTGAAATTTATTTGCAGTTTAAAACATCAACTCCGACTCTCTTTCCAATTGACCGACTTTTCAACAACTTTTATGAACTTCCATAATTTCTATCAGCCAATATACCTCACGGTGTATTATAAATATTAAAAATTTATACGTAAAATATTAACTTAATGTGAGTACGACAATGTAAATGTTTATATGTGTGTTTATAATGAATATTGTATTAAATTGACTCTGCTGTTGTTGTTGTAGACATCATTCATGCAATGCCCAAACATACAAGCATTTTCCGCATCTGTTTATGCCTTCCGGCTCGCTATTCACCTCAATCATAATCATTATGATTGTCTTCGCCTCTTTCTTTCGGTTGGTACACTCGTTCATTCTTCGCCTCGTCAATTTGATCGACTTGTTTATGGGTTGTCAGTAAAATTTTGGCATATCTTCTCTGCTACGCTGTGTAAAGAACGGAACGGGGAATGTGAATACAGAGAGGGAGAAAGAGAGAAGGGTGGTACTCATAGTAATAACACAGCGCAGCTGGAAAAAAGAGTTACTCATGCGCGTATTGAAAGTCTGTTAGTGTAACGATATGCTTATGTTAATTGGCTATGAAGTAAGTATGTATGAAATTTTAAATATGAAGAAGCAACCGAAGTGGAGAAATTTGCATTATTATTATTTTTTATTATTAAAAATTTGAATTCTCTTTTCTTTTTACATCAATAATGTTCATTGTAAAATTTTGTTATTGAAATAAAAGCAATCTATTATTTAATTTTGTTTTTCAATAAATTATTTTCACTTCACTTTTTGTACATACATATACATATGTATGTATGTAAGTATTATTGCTAATGTTTAAAAATAAAAAAAAGTTTGTTTGCTTTTTCGACGAGCTCTTATGCGTATTCCGTTTCTTAAGCTGCAGAAGCAGAGCCAGTATGCGAGTGTTTATGTACTTTTAGTAAGATGAAAATTTTGTCCATCGATCTAAAGGCAAGACAGGTAGAATAGAAGGGTCCCTTACTAACCGCCACAATAACGACGCTATTTTCAAACTTTATGACATCAACTTGCTTTCCGAGCAGAGATTTGTGACATCACTGAAAGTGCCAAATGTATATTGAGTTTATAGAGGGAGCAGTTCTACAACCTGCTTTATTGCAGTGAAAGTGAAATACCCAAAAATGACGAGGCCGAATCCCCAATTTCATGAAACTCGCATACATAAGCATGGTGACGAAGAATTGATAAGTTGTATACATTAGCGCCTTTGCAGGATTAATGGAATGAAAGTATGCCCTACGCTTGGAAACTGTGTGCACTTAGCCCACTCGAGAAAAAGGTGGACCAGGTTGAAGCCCACCGTCAATAAATTAGTTGAACCTTGATAGAATTGGACTATAGACCAAATGTTCACCATGCGCTAAGCTTGAAACTTTACTTTACTGAGAAGGAAGTTAAAGAGTATAGTTACATATGGATGCAGAAAGACCAAATTCAAAAAAAAATCCAGCTCTATGGCGCAAAAACGTTCATGTTGACAACATCTGGCTAAAAAGTTTTCGAGCATGAGCAGTACTGGGGATACGAAAATATTGGCATAGAGACAGCGA